CTGCTGAAGCAGTCATGTATTTTCATCCAGCTTGGGTGTCTCTCACACAAAGACTGGCTTTGGCGGGACAGCTAATGGGTGTGTACCATTTCCTAGCAACATCGTTTTCAGCACCACGCTCTATCACATTGCAAGGTGGAAAGTTTGTGTTGAAGAAATTTGGGCAATATGTGCTGGTGAGTATATTTTGCTACAGAATATTAAATTTCTATTGAAAAATCTGTTATTTTTTCATAAATTGTTTGCTTTAGGCAGTGGGGACTGATAGAAACATACATGATTGGATACTTGAGAGACGTGCCAACACTCTGGAATCATTGTTGAAATTTTTTCACTGCGATCTCGTAAAGATACTAGAATCCCTCAATAATGATCGCAACAGATTCACTGAAAAGTTGTATCAAATGTTTGAGACATATCTGCCAATTCTTCAACACAGTGCCAATTTATTTTCCAGCATTCCTGTAATTAAACTTCCAAAGGTTAGTGCAGACGATATAAAGTAGTACAACAAAAGTAGTATACAAAAGTGTGAACATAAAAATAAGTATAAATTTATATATATATGTATATATTATGTTTCACATAGAGTGCTAGCAACATATTTCTGGAAGGGATGCAAATGTTGCAACATTATCAAGAGATAAACGGCGTTTTGGGAGGAGCATTATTCTATAATAACAAGTAATGAAACATACATTTATATAAGTTAAATTTGCACAGATATTGTCTTTAAATATTAATGTTAACTATTATTATGTATTTAAAATATTGCCAATTGTTATTTATTAATTATTTGCTTTATCTTCTTTAATTTACCTTATTCATATTTTTTTTCTTTCAGGATAGTCTCAACACAACTAGGAGCAGACTTAACAAAACAAATTGTCATAACTGATCCTTATAGGATAAAGGTACTTTCCATTATTAATTAAATTTATCTGAATATAAATGTAATTGATCGAATAGAATGATAATTTTGCGCATATTAGCTTTTATCATTATCGAACTTACCAAGAAAAAACACCAAATTTTTAAAGGCTCCTGCGGAAAGGATATCTACAGAATTTCATTTGCCGATCGGTGTTCAATTGTTACAAGTGTACATAGAGCGAAAGCAGTTTGCGAAACTAATGCAAGAGGCGAATAACGAGCGATATTATAATTCATGTTTGGACACCATGACTAAGAAGATATTGCATAGAAAGGTAAGTAGATGTAACAGCAAGACAAATGCATAAAATTTAATTAGATATCATGGTTTTTTGATTAAAGCGATGTAATCGTCACTTTATGAATGCTCAATTCGATGAATTTTCAGAACGTGTCTAAGAGCGGCCTCAAGGAACCGTTCATCATGTCCGCCATGAAGCGGGATACTTCGCGAATATTCACCGTCCCCGAGGAAGGCGAGCTAGATCCCGCGAATTATCCGCCGGCGCTGCAATACGTGTCATCGGTACCGCTTGCGATCAATCATGAATCGCCGATCAGACGCAAGCAAGAGATCAAACCAGAGCGTCCCAAGATTAGCGGTACCGTTGTCAATCCGCTCACGCCCAGCGTCTGCGCGACGCCGTTAAAGGATGTAGATCGAGTGTTGCACGGAAATGCCATGCTCATCTGCTCATCCGAGAGCGGCGGCGAGACTGACGAACATCGAAGCTCGTCGAAAAGCAACGACGACGATGATATTCCTGATGTCGTCAAAGAAGCGCTCAGGTACATGTTTATTTCTATACCATCTTTAGAAATTTCTATTTTTATAGAACGGGAATTTATGCGTTTTGAAAACACTGGAAAGCTTTAAAAAATATCCGATTTTAGATAGTAATTCAATTTTTATCGTATAACAGATGCAAACGTCTGAATAAACTGAAAAACGCTACCTCGAAGAAAAAACTGATGAAGAGAAAGGATCCCGACCGGAAGAGTATAAGTTTGCCGGACCTGACATCATCAGTTAAACCGCGCTTGAATAGTATTCCTAGAACTTATCGACCGGAGCTGGACAAAATGTAATTGAATAATAGTCTGAATGCTATATACAACTTTTACTATTTATTTTCTTTTTTTATTAAATTCTATTACTATAACAGATTGTGCAAATTCAACGAAGCTTCACCGGATGACTGCGATCCGAATTCACCCCGGCGGAAGCTCACCGGAAACGATAAGCGATACTCGCGCACCATAACTGATCCCTGTTATCCCGTCTTTCGATGCGACGGTCTCCCGGTATCGCAATCATTGTACGAGCAATACATCGCTTCGCACTGCGAGGAACTGCGCGATGACGGTGGAGACAATGGTATTCATGGGCGTTGCAATGACAATGACAATCTGCAATCGAGGAATCTATCGAGCAACTTGATGAGCGCAAAATTGTCGATAAATAGCAGCTCGAGCTCGATCACAAGAGATGCTGGCGAAGGTACGTGATTTTAATTGCAAAGATTAAAGTATTTCGAAGATTTAAAGTATTTCGAAAAAACTATAAAAGATTTAAAAAAAAATAATACATCGAGTAGAAAAATCTTCAACGTAATTAATAATTCAAACATGTTTATTTTAAATGTAAATGTTTAGAACGCAAACCTGGCTATGACAAAAGCAAACAGGAGACATACAAGAGATCGATGAGTCTACCGCTGAAGCCGCTCAACGTTGTCGCCGAGGTGCAAAACGGCGACGATCGGCGAAAATCGACGTCAGAATGTGGCGGCAACTCGTATGATTTCCCGCAGAGGCGGAAGCTGGACGGTCTACAATTAACACCGCTGATGTCGAAGCTGAGCTTGTTGGCAGACGAACGAACCAGCGGCTTTTGCAGTCGCGATACCACGCCAAGCGAATTTCGCGATCTTTCCGGATTTTCTGGCGGTGCAGCCACAACTATCACCACAACAACGACAATGAATCATTTGATGAGACAGAAACTGGAATCGGTCGAAAAGGAGGCCAGCGAGGGCGAAGATGAGCTGGACGAGGACTGGGTCAACAAGAACGATCCTGCCGTCTGCCTCGAGAAGACCGAACTTTTCCTATGTGGCTATCAAAATATGGTGTTGGTGCTATTAATGGAAAATGGTACTGCGAACAATCCGGATTTAATACATGCTTTGGTAAGTGTGAAAATTGCACATATTACGAAATTTATTAGATTTAGGGATGAAAAACCTGAATTGGCACTTTCTTAAAGAGTAAAGCAATAAAGATGAAAATATGTGAAAAGAATACTTTTAATAAATAATAATATAATAGAAATAAAATTTATAATAACAAAATAATAAAATATGAGAAACAAACGCGCTTCAAATGTTCTCTCACTTACATCGATATTATATATATATATATATATATAAATATATAAAATACATGCATGATACACAAGAACGTAAATCTGATCTGCAGAATCCTCGTGCAGAGGAAAGGAAGGATTGTGCACGTGTCGTTCCTCGCGCGAGCCCATCCGGAAAATGCGTTTACCTTTTCGCGTAAACCTACTAATGCCGCCGAAATTCTGCACGTGCATTGCCACATTTCCGGGATGTATGTATACGTGTACCGTTCGTAGTATATACTTTATAAAATACGTGACTTCGCGTATTTTCGTCAGCTTATCTTCGCCACCGCACACGTCGCGTACACGTACGAGCGCCCATGTGTATACTACCATCTAAAAGTCTTAAAATAAAAGCTAATTTGCCACGTTTATATCATACTTGCATTTTTGCATATAGTCTCTTTCAATTGCATTATTGTTTTTCTTATCATTTGTAAAACATGTTTTTAAAGAAGCGGATTATATTTT